AATGGTCGGTGTGGCGTCCTCTTAAGTAAAAAAAGAAACAGAAGTGTTTCAACATCTGAAAATGTGTGCTATAATATGTAACAAATTCATTTGACTATCCTCATATGTATATCGTTATATCATTGTATATCCTTATATATCCTATTATATCCTTATATCCTGCAACTAGATGTATCTGCATGAAATGTGGATAATTCTCCTCTATAATCTCTTCATAATGACGTCAGCACTGTGAGTTGTCACACTTACCCAGTCGCTCAAAACGTGACGGACAACAAACAAATTTTCAGAATGACCCCCGCCAAAAGACGTATCCATGTCAAACGTTTTCTACAGTAATTCCATTCCTCGTATATATCTAATCTGTGATGTTAAATATATCATTTTTTTAATACTAGAAAACAATTAAAAACTGCAGTAATATAATAATTATAAAAAGCTCAGCAATATAAAAAAAAGTTTTTCAGCCGAGTCTGCAACCATGAAAGAGCAATTTCATGTCTCGTTGAAGTACCGAATAAATTTAGATTAGGTGTGGAATTATAATTTAAAAAAAAGTTTTTAAGCCGAGTCTGCAACCACAAAACATCATTTTCATGTCTTGTTGAAGTACCGAATAAATTTAGAGTAGTGGTGGAATTATAGATAATGATATAGTATATTAACGAGCGGTAACAAGCTAGTATAATAAAACGTCAAGTTTCTGGCTAAAATTGTAGTGTTTATTTTCTGGCCAAAAGTAACTTAACATAGAGAATGAAACTATTTTGAATTTATTATTTAGTTCTAATTTGAACGTTGAACGTACAACATATCTCTTATCTACTATATCTTATCCCTATCCCCTACCCACTATCTCCCATCCCTATCACTCACCCCTATCTCCCACCCTATCCCTACTCCCTAATCTCCCACCCATATCTCTCCCCCTATCACTCACCCTTATCTCCCACCCCTATCTCCTGTCCCCAACCCCAACCCTATCCCACCACCACCCCTTATCTCCTACCCCTTGACTCCCACCCCCAACGTCATCGCCATCCCCATTTATTTTTTCGTTACGCCTTTTTGGCAACGCTCTTTTGGTAACGCTTTTTTGACAACGCTTTTATGGTAACGCTTTTTGACACTTTTATGTCTTAGCTCTGGCACATAACCGAAAAAAGCGTTACCATAAAAGCGTTACCAAAAGAGCGTAACGAAAAAAGCGAAAGGGTTGAAGATGAGGTGGGTATGGGAAAGGGGTGAAATTAGCTATGGCAAATAACCGAAAGAAGCGTTACTAAAAGAGCGTTACCACACGAAGATGGGTTGGAGGTGGAAATAGGGGTGGGTGATAGGGGTGGGAGATAAGGGTGAGAGATAGAGGTGAGTGATAGGGAGGGATATAGGGGTGAGAGATTAGGGAGTAGTGATAGCGTAGGAGATAGGGGTGAGTGATAGAGACGGGAGATAGTGGGTAGGGGAGAGGGGTAAGATATAGTAGATAAGAGATATGTTGTACGTTCAACGTTCAAATTAGAACTAAATAATAAATTCAAAATAGTTTCATTCTCTATGTTAAGTTACTTTTGGCCAGAAAATAAACACTACAATTTTAGCCAGAAACTTGATTGTACATAATTTTTTAATCTCCTTGGCCTTATGCTGTAACTGGAAGCTCCATATAATTTTTTTTTTTTTAATTATAATTCAACACCTAATCTAAATTTATTCGGTACTTCAACGAGACATGAAAATGATCTTTTGTGGTTGCAGACTCGGCTGAAAAACTTTTCATTACGCTTTTTTCGGTTATGTGCCAGAGCTAAGACATGAAAATGTCAAAAAGCGTTACCAAAAAAGAAATAGGGTGGGAATAGGGTTGGGGGTGAGAATTATCCGGTACATAACCGAAAAAAAGCGTTACCACACGGAGATGGGTTGGAGGTGGAAATAGGGGTAGGAGATTAGGGTTGGGGTTGGGTACAGGAGATAGGGGTGGGAGATAGGGGTGAGTGATAGGGAGGGATATGGGGGTGAGTGATAGGGATGAGAGATTAGGGAGTAGGAATAGGGTGGGAGATAAGGGTGAGTGATAGGGACGGGAGATAGTGGGTAGGGGATAGAGATAAGATATAGTAGATAAGAGATATGTTATACGTTCAACGTTCAAATTAGAACTAAATAATAAAATCAAACCACTTTAAGGGCCCAATTTCTCTATGAATTGTTTTAAGCCAGATAATAAACACTACAATTTTAGCCAGAAACTTGATTGTACATAATTTTTTAATCTCCTTGGCTTATGCTGTAACTGGAAGCTCCGTATAATTTTTTTTTTTTAATTATAATTCCACAGCTAATCTATATTTATTCGGTACTTCAACGAGACATGAAAATGCTCTTACGTGGTTGCAGACTCGGCTAAAAATTTTCTGTTTTTCGTTACGCTTTTGACATTTTCATGTCTTAGCTCTGGCACATAACCGAAAAAAGCGTAACGAAAAAAGCGTTCGTTACAAAAGCGCTCGTTTCAAAAGAGTTCGTTACAAAAGCGGTCTTTACAAAAGCGGTACAAAACCGTTACATGGGTAGGGGTGGGAGATAAGATATATGTTGTACGTTCAACGTTCGAATTAGAACTAAATAATAAATTCAAAATAATTTAATTCTCTATGTTAAGTTACTTTTGGCTAGATAATAAACACTACAATTTTAGCCAGAAACTTGATTGTACATCATTTTTTTATCTCCTTGGCCTTATGCTGTAACTGGAAGCTCCATGTAATTTTTTTTTTTTTTTAATTATAATTCCACAACTAATTTAAATTTATTCGGTATTTCAACGAGACATGAAAATGCTCTTTCGTGGTTGCAGACTCGGCTGAAAAACTTTTTTCGGTTATGTGCCAGAGCTAAGACATGAAAATGTCAAAAAAAATGTAAAAACAGTCACTGGCAATGTGAATAGTATAAACATAAGCTTAGATTAAAAAAGTAAAATCTAGAACAGGTTAAGTATTAAACTGATACAGACAAAACCAGCTGAGTTTGAATCAAGTATGTTTTAAAATAAAAATTCACTAAAAGTTTTACAGAAAAAGCCAGTACAGTGGGAAAATAACAGTCTTATATTTAATGAATCCCTGGAGGAAAGCTCAATTCTTGACAATAACCGTTGCCCCTAACGTTTTAAGACATCGGCAACTCAATTCTCTTACGTGTTATTCCTCGGACTACACAGGCCTCCTTCAAATTCTTATTTTGTCCTTTGGGGCACAGAATTTAGGCAATCTCCATCCAATCAATTCCGGCCACATTTTTTCGAAATTATTCAGCGGCATTCTAAACATTTCTTCTATCAGCGCTAAACGCGTAAAAGTCACTTTCGACTCTGTCGCCAATGCCTGCCTCACTTCAACTTCACCCTTAGAAAACGGTATCGCCGCCTCCCTTCTTAATACATTTACTTTACTGTCTGGGCGTCATTCATCTGGATTGAAGTGTTGCTAAAAAAGATTTAGGATGGTTTAAATTGTTTTATACCAATTGGTTAATTTCGCCTTGGCATAATCTTAGGCCCAGAGGGCTAACAAATGTTGAGAACCGCTAGTTCAAAAGGCATATAATATATCGTTTTAACTAAAACAAGAACGAACAAACAACAAGGTAAGCTATAAATATCTGGGAGAAATTGTGTCATGTACAAACGATAAAGAATGAACAACCTTGCGTAGTGACTGGTAAATCGAGACTATAAACTATTTCAGTTGGTAAACTAAAATGAGCAAATATTCTTTGGAAATTATTAATAACTTGTTCCACATTGGTTTTATTCATTAATTCAATATCAATAAATTTAATATACGCATCAATTAAAAGCAAAAAAATAAGTTTTCCAAAATAAGAAAAATCAATTGAAACTCATTCAACAGGATTATATTATATTTGTTTAGGGCCACTTTGATTTCAAAATTTCTTTTGGTATATTTTGTGTTTGACAACAAATCTCACACTTTTTAACGGGAACGGAAAGCGCTATTTATTAAGGGGAAAAGGATAGGCAATATTTGATAAAAATTTATCTAGTAGCCGTTTTTAATATGCCGGACTAATTTTAAGGTGAAAAAATATTAATCTATTTCTTACTATGAATAAGAAACGTTTGAGCATTTAATCAAATTTTAAATTTTAAAATCAAATTTGTAAAGGGTTAAAATTCAAAATTGAAAAAAGTGCCTTATAGGATCTCAAGTAAACTTTATGACGAATTCATATCTGTTTTCAAATTACTTATCGGAATACTGGTTGAGCCTGTGCGATGGAACAAAAAATGTATGTTATATTGACTAAAATGGCTTTTACTCATAGACAAAGTGGTTTAAATTAAAAATAATACCTTGAAGCTAATACAAATTAACCGGTAAATTTATTGACATGGTCAAAATTTATTTAAGCCAATTTTTTCTTAAATATTGCCTATACAAAACTCCTTAAAAATGGTCTGTATGGAGCCCTCTTAATGAAATGTTTTATTTATTTTTAGAATTGCAAATCTCCCTCTAAATGAAACTCATACTTCTAGGCAGTTAACGTAAATGGAGAAATTTTATATTAAACTCAATTAATATCAAGCCAATCAACAACTTTGCATAACTTTTATAAAACAAAATGGTGTCATAGGATATACAGTGTGTATTGGTTTAAACCATTAAATACATTAATCTGTAGTACTACGCCACAGTTTTGTATTGATTTCGGATATCGCGGTCATTTGGTGCCATGTATATACATATAGTAGCAAACTCACAAATAGGAAGCGAAAATACAGTTACGATCAATAGAGTATATTATAATATGTTTAGATATAATAATACAGGTGTGGGATATCGTTTCATTGGCTATAATTATTATTATTACGGTTAATTTATCATTGGAAAATTGAAAATTCCAGTGGACATTTACCTGCGGTATTCGTTATCTCAGACAACCCGGGATAATAATAATAATAATACCAAGCGTTGCTGTCATACACTTATACCTCAATGCAACACTCCTTGTCATTCGAATAAAACCACGTTGTCGCCAGTTGCTCTGAAAGTCGTTTCGATCGATTTTTTACAAATCTTAATATGAATCGTTTAACTGAAAACCGTGCTTCGCTGCCCGCAGACGGCTCAGGTATGTAAATATTTAGTTAATGTAAACAGAACAAGTTTTAATCGATATCTGATCCTTAAAATAACATCTTTGTTTCACGGTTTTCACAAATATTGTTGTTCTTCTGGTTAAATATCATATTTATTCATAACAAGTAACAACGCTATCAAAGTATGTTTTAAATTACATTCAACACAATAATGTACAATTTTATTTTTTAATTTCGTTTTTAAAATTTTTACTGCAACTATGTATATTTGCAGTTTTACAAAAATTAATGAACATAAACGAGATAAAAATACGTAATAAAATTCAAAATTTAATTTTAGACACAATATTATAATAATAATATGGTACAATATAACAACAATATAGTAATTACATTATAATTATTATGTATGATTTAATAATATATTAATAACAATTATCATGTTTATTAGGTTTACATACATGCATGCATGGTTTTTCAAGGGAAGAACTGACAGAATTGGAGAAAAATTTTATCAAAAAATTGTTAGACGACTACTTTTCTTGTGCCATTTGTTTGAGCGTAATGCATAAGGTAATTATTTTTATTTTTAGAATAATATGATATATCTTAGAAAGCTTTAACATATGTTTAGTATTTGCTATTTCAGCCCAATTTTGCTAAAAAAAGTGAAAGGGGCCTAAACACCGAATATATTATAAAGTCAATATTATTTTATAATATAAAAAAAAACAATATTGAGGGTGCTAGATTCAACAGGGGCTTTTAAACAAACACATATTGGGTTTATGACTATAGGTTTTGTTATTTAAACAACAATATTATTTAATTAATAATAATTGAATAATATGTTTTGAAATGTTAATAAAAGACCCAGTTTCTGCGGATTACTATTTTTAGTAGAGTTATATTATATTTTTGTTTTATTACGATAAACAAATTCTCTAAAATACATTAAGAAAAATAATTAACTTTTATAATCTTTTATTAAAACTGTAACATTTTAATGCAAATTAAGAAGATTAAAGTTAATCGTTTTTGAGTAGATAGAATATTACTAAAAGTTCTATAAAGATAAAAAGATATCGTTGTAAAATTAACGCTTTCTCAGCTTCGCATCAAAGCTATAATTTTAGTTTTGTAATAACATATTTTAAAGAAAATTATGTTTTTAATTAGAGAGCATACCCAACCAATATCCCTATTGTTGTCACTTTTATTTGTTAGTAGCGTATTTCGTCATGAATAATACATTATTATTATGGTTGTGGTTGCAAATTTTTTTTAATTTAAGATTTTAAACCATGTTTTTCAAAATGCTTGTATTATAATAATTTAATTTAACTTAATTTGTATAGATATTATTATAACTAATGACCATTATTTAGAGTATATTAAGACTAGTCCGGTTGCGAGAACAAATATTTTGTTTATTTATTGCATTAATTTTCCCTTAAAAAGCATAACAATTATCCATTGAATGTAAAATTAATTAATTAATTATATAAGCTTAAAACACTTTTTTTTATTTTGTTTTTAATATCTACATACAATTGTAAAAAACCCATTTGAGTGCGTCCACTTCATAGATACAATATGTATACATATTTCATTTAATAATTTTAGTAGCAACGCCCCCCCCCCCCCACAACTAAATTTAATAAATAATAAGTAGAGCTTGTGCGAGTCGAGGGCGAACAACGTCTGTATCACAAAACGGAATATATTGTGCAAACAAGTTTTCAATGTGGCCATATAAATCGGGTTTCCAACATTTTGTTTTTTTTTAAATCAATAAATATTTTGTGTCGAACGATTTAACTTAAATTATTTTGGAAAAACCCTACATTAAAATAGCAATTTTAATTATGTTAAATTAGTTGTCAAATTAGTTAAATTATACAATAAAACGAATTATGAAATAATAATAAGGCATGTTTAAATCAAATAAAATTATAAACTAAAAAACGGATTCTTAATTTAAACAGATTACGACAAAAAGAGTACTGAATTACAATTGATGTGGCAGCAATATTAATTAAAACAAAATACAATATGTTCCAATTAGATATTTTATTTTAAATGATAGTTTAAATTATTTTTAGCCTGCAATATTAAGATGCGGTCATACGTTTTGCAAGGATTGCATTGGCAATTGTTTTACAAACTCGCATTACCAATGTCCTATTTGCCGAAAGTACGCCTTTGGATTAAGCGACATCACTACATCACAACATATAGAAGAAATGATTAACGGTCTGACGTCAAAAATCATGCAAAAATCAGGGGTTCCAGTGGTAAAATCTAGCAGCACTAACAATTTAATAAAATTGATTACAGGTGGGAGAAAATAAATATATATATATATATATATATATATGTTTTCCTTATTTTTAATTTTTCGAAGTTTTATGGTTTCCACCTTTCAATTTTTTTCTTAAATTTTGACTGGTCGATAAACAGTTTTGAATAATTACTATTTAAATGATTGAAGTTTTAAACTTAGGACGTGAGAAAATTTAGTGCGGTTGAGTAACTATTTAAGAACATAATTATTAAAAACTAACCAATCTAACTTTTCAACAAATTATTCTTAATTAAAAAAAATAATTTAATACATTAACATTGCTAAAGATAAAATTTATAAGGTTTTAGTACATAAGGGTTGGAGTTATATTTTTGAACAATTTATCTAAATTGGGTGAATAAAATTACTTGAAAATAAGTATAAAAACCAAGTACTGTAAAAACCAGCACAGTAAGAAAGTATTAAAGTGAGGTGCAGTGTCCACAGATTCGCATCGCAACGTTTATTTTAAAGTGATTTTATCACTTTCAGTTATAGTAATACATTTTCAAATATAGTAATTCTTGAAGCCCTTCTTATGACCTCTCCGCCACTAATGTGCTCCGTCACCACAATGCCCTGACCCCACTGTGCTGGCTTTTTTATATTCTTGGTGTGAATCATAAAAACTCGCACTTATGTAGCATATCGTTTAGTTAGAAGGCATGTACGTTTTAAAATAAAACATTCAATTGTTTTTTGTTTGATATTATTTTTTTTATGATACATAGCAGTTAAAAAAATTATTTATACATTTTGAAAAACTTGTTATTGTAATAGGGTCACAGCTGATATTTTTTTAGTATTTATTTTCACACTTTAGTCCTGTTCAATACATAAAAAAAATATATAAATAACTCCTTCTAGGAGTTAAAATAAATAATTAACTTAATGGATACATGAAATAAATACTTTTTAATATACATTTTTTAAAAATTAAAAACGTATAATACAAAATCATTGAAAAGTGATTTTATAAAGCAAATGTAATTTTTAAAAACAATAAGTTGTGAGTATACAAAATGATTGACATTGTTTTAAAAATGCAATACATGTTCTCTCTTATTCATTAAATATAAATATGATACTATTCCTTCTATCTACAACATTTAAAATATCTATCGTCCTATCTTTTTTAAGTTTTTATATATTCTTGCTGTGAATGATGAAACACATTTTGTATTTTTCATATTAAATTATCGTATAGTTTAGAAGGTATACACGTTTTCAAGTAAAATATTCAGGTTTTTTTCTATTCATAAGCGATATAGCCATATAGCTATGCATACATTAGTTCTAGCAATAATTACTTTTAGCATCCATAGGATTTTTTTTTTGTACAGAAATCCCACCTGAGCTAGTTAGTTAGTTTTTCAACTTTTTTTATAAGTTCAGTTATTTTAATATACGCTCAAAACCTGCTTCATGATATTATGCTCTTTAAGTTGAATAACCCTGCATGATGTCATTTGGGTAAGTAGTTCTTGAGCCAACCCGTTACAAAGATTCTATTTACACACCTGTATGTATTATATATTATGTTTTAACGTGTTTAACTGTTTTACGATTAAAACAATACCATACGAAATTTTACGAATTTGTTATTTTGAAAACAAGTGTTTTTTAGCATATTTTGTTTTATTGTTTGTATAGGTACCTATTCAAATGTTTAAACTATTCTCTTGCATGTCCATAGAACCCCGGTGTTCCAATAATTATAGCGAATTACTATTTTGTACATTAAAATACTAATTAATCATTAAAATAATTATTATATTAAATTGTTCTAATGTAAACATTTATAATTATTACTTTATATTACATTTAATTTTTTTATATAGAAAATATATAATAATAATATTTTCTTTGACAAATTAAATTAATATATTAAGAGATCAGAAACTATAAACACAATAATAAAAATTTGTTAACCAGTATACAAGACATATGCAGATGACAAAACATTTTTTTAAGTATTATAATTAGTTTTTATACAAAATTTGTTTTTGTTATAATATTTGTAACAATATGGTACTGTCATGTAAGCAAATTCAGACGTTCAGATTAATATATCAATACATCAATATATCGATATCTGTATTTAGATCAATACAGATTTCTGTATTGTACAAATCAAATTATGTTCAATTTTTATACAATGGCACTTAGAGCATTTGTCAAATTCACTCTTTAGATATAAACTAGAATTAAAAATGTCAGTTAAATACAAGTAAATATTGATTAAAATTATTAGGGTCATTAAATATGTATATATAGACTTACATTCTAATAAACACTTCGTTGCGCGTCTATAGATATATATAAAATCATTGTCAATAATGTGCTTAAAATTGTATTTTTAGTATTAGAGTGGATACGGTTACGGTTGATCGTCCGTCTATAATAATTTGTTGCCACTTAACAATATAAGGAACATATTTTCATATGCCTGTTGTTTGATGATTCACTCACACATAGCAATCTAGAAATTGACTACCATCGAAGTGTAATTTTCCCCTTTTTCTTTCTTTTTTCTTAATAAAACTAAAGTTGAACTACAGATTTTTGAGATTTTAGAGTATATGTTATAGGCCCATATAAGATCCATCTTTGCTATATTTTTTAAGCATTTAACCCTAAAACTTCACCTAGCGTAGTAAAGAGTAGTAAAAGCATAAAAAAGAAAAAGAGATGGATCTCACATAGACACACACACAAAAAAAAAAAAATAATAAATACGTATCGAAACTAAGAAACTTTAGTTTTGTATCGATAATCATAAATCAATTAATAAATAAAGAAGATATAAAAACCTATATTTTTAAATAATTTTCCTTATTGGTAAATTAAAAAAATATGATTATTAATAAAATCTAAGTTTAATAAAATGTGATTTTATATTGAATCTCTGAATCGCCTGAAAATCATTTCTTATAAAACATCTGTAACTCGATCAAAAATGAATTTTTTCAATATCGTTTTTATCAGTATTCATATGATTTTCCATTCTATTAGGGAAAAATATTAATTTAAACAGATTTTATTTTTACTTGTCAGTCATCACTGGACAAATATTATTTATTTATACTACCATAATAACGTATACATTTCTTAAATATTTTATACATAAGTACTGATTACTGGCATGCACTTCCTTTAATCTTTTAATAACAACTAACGAATTTTCAAAATTTAAATATATATATTAGGGTGGTCCTTAAAATAGCTTTGGTGGAATTTCAACCAGGACGCCCCTTAAATCGGTTCAAAATACATAAAAAATGAGCCACCAAAAATGTTGGCTTTTAATTTTAAAGTTAACACGTGCCTGTAGCCACTTACTTTTTGAAGGACTGGACAGTTTAAGTCTCAGTTGAGTTTTTCAAACAAATTTTGTTTTAAAAATATAAGTTTTTTTACGCTGAAAACGTCGGTGAAGTCAGATTTTAGCGGTCAAACTTAAAAGTAAAAACTTAATTTTTTTCAAAATTACCATTTTTTTTAACACTTATATTTTAAATGTTTAACATAATTATGAAAACGAAAATTAAAAAATTTACTTACTTTTGAAGTTATAAGTAAAAGCTATTAAAAAAAAAAAAGGTTATTATGACAAAAAATAAGTTTTCTGTGTAATTACAAAAGATAGTTCGATCGTTATAAGTAGCGTATCTATTATATTATATAATTTACTTTATTTTATTTTTGTTTATTGTATACATATATTATATTGTTACTTTATATGAGTTAAAATTGTAAAATGTAATTGTCAAAATTTATATAATTAATTCCAGTACTTGACATCTTACAACACAAAAAAAACTGCCGTGAATGCTAAATATATGATACTTACGAGTATAACGGTCGAACTATATTTTGTAATTATACTGAAAACTTCATATATTTTTTGTCATAATAACCTTTTTTTTCTTAAAAAATAGTTTTTACTTATAACTTCAATAGTAAGTAAGTTATTTATTTAGGCTCATTTTACATGTATTTTGAACCGATTTAGGGGGCGTCCCGGTTGGAATTCCACCAAAGCCATTTTAAGGACCACCCTAATATATATATATATATATATATAAATTTGATTATTAACTATTTCGAAATAAGACTAGTTAATTACTAATTAGTAGTTTTAAAAAACATTGTAATTTTTATCTTTTCAGTTTTTTCTGTTAATTTAATTTCCTTACAACCAATTCATTTTTTATAAACTTCCCTTTCTTTTTTTTGCATATACACACCATACTCGAATTCATATTAATTAATAAAAAAAGTTTATTCATTAAATAATTATTAATAAACTTGTATTACTTAATACATTTTTATTTTCAACTCACACGTTAAAAAGACACAACTCATATTAATAATAATTATAAGTAAACAAGTAATAATAATTATTAGTATCTTTTATCTGTCATCCATGTACTAGCCCGATAACTCAATATTTAACGCTGTCAACTGAATTCTACATAATATACGGCGGCCGGGCGCGAATTTCCAACTATATCAATACCGGCTTTAAAGTTTTATATCAATATTGCTTTTAGCGATTCGAGGTTACTCGTATTGTCAACCGATGACTTAATATTTATATAATCTATAACCTTCAATTGTCCAACATATCAAGTTATACTAATAAATACACAAGCTATAAAAAGACAAATTTGCAGGCAATTGGAAATTTTATAAATAAATTGATTTAAAAAAAATGTGAGTTGTAAATGTAATAAAAGTAATTGTATTTAATAATGACACCACTTTTGATTCAATTTTATTGAATAATTCTAAAATTCTTGTTTTAAAAAAATTGTGTTAAAAATAGAGATATGCAAGTATGCGTGGAATAAGATATTGAACATCGTCGATCGTGAATAAAATCTAGCAAATTACTAAACATAAACACTTTAAAAGCTATTTAAGATACAGGTTGAACATTTAAGCTTGTTTCAAAATGTAATCCTCTCAATCAACCACTTTGTATTAAATGCAAAATTTTAGAATGTAATTTTAGCAAATAATTGTGATGTTTAAAGACCTTCTTTATGGAATTCTGTACTATTTTTTTGCCACCTTAACAAAAAAGTTCAAAAATACAATTTGTATTTTTACTGTTTATTTAAGCGTCTATGATATCAAAAATGTAGACCAAATTATTCAATACATTTTGTTAAAGCATATTAATTTTCCCTGCTTATTTAATGGAATCAAAAGAGAATGATTTTCGGAAATAATTCCAATTTCATGTTCGTATTTTAAATTGTGTTAGAAATAATGTTAATACTGTTTTGCAGATAAAAAAGTTGTAATATTTCCTCAGTATAAAATATCAATCCAAGAATAATTGTGTTTTGATTATAATCAACTTTTAAAAAGTTCATCCTGTGGTATTTTTTTTTAGTTACTTCTTGCCAACTTGTATAGCATTTGTAAGTAGTATGCACGTTTTACCATGCGTGTTTTGTGTCATTTTATGCTAACGTAAACATTTAGCATATGTTCTATAGGCAAACAATTTTGTGCGTTATGCATTATAAAAACATATTCAGACATTCTAGTTTTTGGAACGGATTGCACCAGTAGTACATTTTCAATCAATTTCTTAACCCTAAAATCTAAACGATTTAGAATGTACAGCATCCTAATAATTTCAATTTTAATTGCGTTTGTCGTACGGACATATAAAATGGAACGACAGTAAGGGTCAGTTCGCCACCATAGTGTTCGAACATACTTGGAGACCCTCTCTAAGTCTGTTCCAACAATATCTAGTGTGGCCATAACCTTCCAATAATAAATGTTTACATACACATCTCGCCACACTTATATACTATAATAGAGGCCATATGTATAACTAATAACACCAAGAATAGGTCGCATTGAGCTTCTATCTGCGGCGCGACGGTGGCGAACTGGCCCTTACCCTAGTTCCATTTTGTATGTTTGTAATGACAAACCCAATTAAAATTGAAATTACTAAGGTTGTTGTACATTCTAATCGTTTAGTTTTAGGATTTAAAAATTGATTGAAAATGTTCTACTTGTGAAATCGGTACCAGAAACTAGAATGTCTATATTTTTGTAATGCACAGCGCACAAAATTGTTCGCCTATAGAACATTATGAGCATTATGCCCGTATGCACAGTCAATTTATCTGGCCCATAGTACATATGTATTGGTCATTTATGTGATTGTTAACAATTAGTTCTCGTTGCATAGTCGTACTTTGGTTTTTTCAATAATAAAACATAATTGGCATAATTTGCTAACATTGCTTTAAGCGAGTGGTTTATATACATATTATTTTATTGGTTTACTTTATGTATATTTTAATTAGGTATTTGTGATCCCTTTGAGTTATATAGTGACAACCATTTTTTTAAGCTCTATATCATTTGTCTAAAAGGTTTGTTCTTGAAGTTAGAATTAGTTGAAATTAACTATAGGAATAAACGTGGATTACCTATTCCTATTGTTCTACAGTTATTGACTACACTTCGTTTTTTTGCTACGTCAAATTTCTAGCTAGTTTATTTTCGAAATAACTATGGCCTATACAGCATCTTGTGGTGATTCTTTTATCATGGGCTACTCAATATCTAATAGGGATTAATAAGAAATGTCATTTTTTTTTCATACTGTTTTTATGTAAAGTTATCTCCATTTTTCACATTTTTTTTGTTCTTACCCCCCTACTAACTTAGATTTTTAATAGCAACTTTTGAAACTTAAATGGTAACGCATATATTTTATTAACTTTTTAATTGGGATTAATTTACTAAAAATTTGAACTGGTTGATAACCAGTTTTGGACAACTATTTTTAAAGTTACAAGAGTTTAAAAGTTAGGATAGTAGGGGAAGTGCGGTTGGAAAGTGCGCGCAGATAAAAATAATATTACACTCCACCTTCCCTCCCTCCTGCCAAAACTTGAAACTTCAACAACTTCAAAAATTGTTATCCAAAACTGGTTATCGACCAGTCAACATTTTAAATACATTATTATCAATTTAAAAAGTTAATAAAATATATACGTTACCATTTAAGTTTCAAAAGTTACTATAAAAAAAACTAAGATGGGAGGGGGGCAAACACAAAAAAATGAGAAAAATTGAGATCACATTGTATAAAAAAATGTAATTTCTTATTAAATTACATCTTGACAAAACCAATAGCTTCTTGCTATCGCCTCGAAGCTAAAAATATTCGTTTTAAAAATTGTCTCCTATCTTTTAAAATAATGTGATTTGGGAATAGTTAACCAATAGCTCTGCACATAGATTTATTATTATATTATGTATTAGTTATAAGCGCTACGTAAACAAATTAAAAATATTACAGGTCGTTATTTTCATTCATAGCATGGATTTTTCAAAAATTGTGCTTATGTCTCCAAATATTATTTTTGGCCATTAAAACAATTTATTAAAAATCAGTTTCTTATGTAAATTTTAAACTGGGATCTCCGTAAAATAGTTTAGAAAAATAAAAAAATTGGTAAAAATTCATAGAAAAGTCGAAAAAACGGAAAATTATCTTATTATTATTAATATTACACACAATTTTTCTAACTATTTTGTTTACTGTGGTAGTTTTTCCCGTTTTTTCGACTTTTCTACCAAACGTTCGGTTTTGGTGTTTTGACCCATTACATGAATTACTATGAAGATATATTTAAAAAAAAAATCTATACCTATACTGTATTCAATTTTTTCTTGTACAACCAATAATTTGAGGAACTATTTGAACCAATTTGTTATTAAATATCATCAAAATTATTTTTATCTCTTATTCATAATAACTTATTAATATAACTTTAAATTTTTTGTTTAACTTATTTAACCTGCTAAACATACAGTTTAAGTCAAATAGTTATTTATTGTTTTATTTTTCAGTAAATGAGCCAAACCGACCGATAAGGAATCAAAATGACCCTACAAGCCGTAGACCAGCTCCACAACAAAGTCAGAATGCTCGTAGAACGATTTCAAACCGTCCGCCCTGGAGGTTTTAACAAAAACTATTGCACGACTCTTTTTAAACTATTTTAACCTATTTACATTATTAACATATTATTTAATTATTTTTATTATTATAGTTTTATATAACATAACTGTTCCTCATTTATACATATTTATCACTTAGGGATTTATCAATCAACGGAATTTTTTTACTTAGACCCGCAAATATTTTGCATTTCTTTTGATTGCCTTAAATTATAGTGATTTTACTTTTTTATACTTTTTTGGTTTTTAATATCATATATTTTTTACATATTATATAATTTTTTATAACATTTGAATAGAAGTATTATATTTAATGATATTTCATGTGCGTTTCTTACGTTTGTAACATTCTATGTTTTTCGTCATCTTTAATATCATTGTTGTATTACCTCCAAAAAAATATTTATATTTATACGGGAATATTTTAATACTATGTTGATAATAAAAGGCAGAAAAGACCTTTCAGCTTATCACTTATAAGTTATAAGACGTATGGTCTGTTGTAATTTTTATTGCCATTTTCACAATTTTACCAGTTGGGCTTTGCATTTATGTACAGCTTATCCTATATTTTTAGTAATATTAAGTTTAATAAACTAAACAACTTAAATGTCTAATTAAGTTTAACTTAGAAATTTAAAATTGTTTATCCTTATCTATAATAATTTTATGGTTGTTAGAATCCAAAAAACTTAGTAATAAAATAAGACTTTAAAATAAAACTTTAGTATTAAATAAGACATTAATAATTTTTTAAACCTAGTAGAAATCTTGAGTGTTATTTATAAATATCATTTTCCCCTGTTTATTAGCAAAAGGGGCTGTATCTTAAATTACTTTTCCTCAAATGTTATCGTCGCCTTAGAATTAGAGGAGCGTATTAACCAAATACACATTTTTCAGGAGAGTCAAATTTCATTTTTTTAAATCTTATTTACGTTTGTATAAAATCAGTTAGGGTTAGCATTTAGTTTCAACTCTAAAGAAAATTACTATACTCTTAGCTTAGTAACAATATTTTAATTTTTAATCCAAAATTTAATTTACTAATTATGGTAATTAGTGTTATTATTACCAAATAGTAATTACTAATTATGAAGATACGTTTCTTTAATTCTAATAATATTCTTCCAGGAGATTGTTCTAGGAGTTTCGTCGTTTAAACACTAAACTATAGTGTTTAAAAAAATCTTGAGTTTAACATTAAACAAAATTAAAAAATATACTGAAATTCACCATTAAGACTAATTTTGAACCTTTACAGTATATAGACTAAATTAGTTTACTCCATAATACTAATGAATGTGAACGCTAGTTTAACAACCTTAAGGTAATTCGATTTTCTCTTATTTGGTTTACTTAATTTACATTTTAAATTCTGATTAGAAGTAACTCCAAGAATTAATACTTCTAACCTGATTTAGCAATAATGTGTAGGTATATTCAATATATACCTCTCCACTAGTCTAAAATTAATTTATATTATGCATTATTAAAAATGTATCTTAGAGTATGTTAATTTTTCATGCAAACATAAATGTTGTTATTTTAATTTAATTTTTATGTTTTATATCCTTGCATACATGAATTTTTAAGTAGACATAGATTAGTAGAATCGGGTGACACTAATTTATTATTAATTGAGCATGTAAACAGATATATACATGAAAGAAAATAATAATTATGCAAAGTATTCAGATCCCGTGACAAGATGTGTGTGTATAATCATCCATAGGTACATTAACTGAGTGTTTAGTACGAACAGGGTTTCATCTTCTACTAATGTCTATCCGTACCGGTCTTTACCCAAGTTCCTTCTAACCTCTTAACCATGCTCACCGATAAAATCAAGTGTATTTGAGACGTTTTTATAAAATTACTCTATATCAATGTCATTAGCATCAAAAATTGGGACATACATTTGGTACTAAATTTATATTCAACGGATTACTAATTAGCTGGATAACTAATGTAGGGTAATCAATTTAAGATTATTGTAAGACTATCATTTCATCTGTAAAATAAGTCCAGTTTTGCATTTTTTCTATTTGGGAATATTTAAAATATTATAAAATTACTAAATATTTACCGTTTTAGTATTTTCCAGAGTTTTATCAACTTTTGAAACTTAAACTGGGTATAGCGTATATATTTAATCAACTATTTAAGTTTAAAATAATTTGCTGAAGTTATTAACGTTTATAATTTAAGACGTAAGCAAGGGTATAGATTTGTATACTTTTTATTTAACGCACTCCACCCCCGGTCCTAAGTTTTAAACTTCAGTAACTTAAACTGAACATTTCATATCACTAATACCATTGAGTATATATTGTTTAATACAGGGTGATCACTTATCGTGAGGGACTTATTGAGGGACTCACTTATCGTGAGTCACTCAATATCTCATAGGGTTTAATAAGAAATTAGAATTTTTTTTTCATAATGTTTTTATACAATGTGATCTCAATTTGTTTAAATTTTTTTTGTTTTTAACCCCTCTCAACTTTTGAAGTTATTGAAGTTTCAAGTTTAGGGCAGCAAGAAAGGTGGAGTGTAGTATTATTTTTATCTACGCGCATTTCCCAACCGCACTTCCCCTCCCATCCTAACTTTAAAGCTCTAATATAACTTTAAAAGTAGTTATCCAAAACTGGTTATCGAAAAGTCAAAATGTTTAGTACATTATTAACAATTTAAAAAGTTAACAAAATATATACGTTACCGTTTAAGTTTCAAAAGTTGCTATCAAAAAAACTAAGTTGAGAGGGGGTAAAAACGAAAAAAATTGTGAAAAATTCAGATCACATTGTATAAAAACAAAATGAAAAAAACAATTTTAATTTCTTATTAAACTCAATGAGATATTGAGTGGTTCACGATAAGTGGATCACCCTGTATATACTCAATGATTATACTCATTACGTCAATTTTCAATCTGTTCATTTCAGCTACAATTTTCCCTGTTTGAAACATTGTTTTCACATTCCTAGTGTAGGTACATTCTTATTGGTTTCCTTGATACTTTAATGCGCTGGTTGTATTATTCGAGGGTTTCGCGTTTTTTACATTGTTTCTTCTTCTGGCCAATCTTGGTTTCCGAAGGTCATGATTATTTAACATCATTAACATTTAAACTTCCCATTAAAACATACTTGCAAATAGTAGCAATAAATAACCAGGTGGGCTTTTGTTACTTTTCTGACCCTAACGCCGCCGATCATACTATTCAGTTGTTTTCACCTTACTCCTTTCCCCCAGGATTTTAGGTTGTCCTACTTACTGGAATCGTTAGCATGAAAATTTTCACCATTAGTATTAATTAACAGAATAATATTATATTTTATCAATTTATCCATGCACTTAAGTTGATTATTTCTCAAAACATATAAACTGAGAAGACTATAATATAATGGTTATGTTTTACGTATACTGTGAGGTACTTATTACATAATTTGGTAAGTTTCACTAAATAAAATAATAAGCGCGTGTGATGGTCGGTAGGCACTAACAAAATGTTGACCAGGTTATAGTACGCGACCGCCGCCTTATACATTAATAGTTGAGCTACAAGTAATAAAAAAAAATAATAATAATAATATAGCTGTTATAGTATGGTATAATTTAGCGGTCATAGACCGTGTGGGCTGTTTTTAAAAACGCGCTCGATTATGTATTTTTTATTAGCCACCAGGAATAACAACTACAACCCGTGAAGGATTCTACTAATTAAATATAATATAAATTGCCGAATACCAAGAATAATGACCAGGCCAAAGTGATTAAATTAACATTATATTAACACCATGTAGGTGCGATCCAGCTGTGATTGTGTGTAATAGCTTTACGATGTCTGTGGTCGAGAACCTTGCTATGATAATCAATGTATTATATTTATCTGCTTAACCGATTTTCTGTTGACCCCACCGACTAAAAAAACAAAAACAAAAACCGGACACTAAACTCGGACAACTCACCGGTCGTTGTGCGTTTACATATTATTATGATAAAATAGACCTATTAAATATATTATACATGAGCCGCTCCACGGACTTGGACCAAACTAGATTTTTTACGTGCGAAACTTGCTGTTGAAACCCGGTTGATGATGATAATATTATGTATTATTATTATGATTAATCATTATAGGTGATATCAAGATTTACAACCGAGCACCTAGGTCGTCCTGTCATGATCTCATTTTAGCCACTTTTAAAGTTGTATTAGGTAAATAATAATCTGAGAACAGCTATTTGCAACCTTAATGTAGTCTCTCATAAAATTTACTTGACAAAATTAAAATATAAACAACATTATAGGTAATATTTAATATGCAACATATTTTAACTAATAAATAAGTGTACTTGTTATCTTTATACATGCAGACACAATACATTGATTGTGATGTTCTATTTAAAGTAATAAGTGAAAATATTGTAGAGTTTATGTATACCTGCTAGTTAATAGATTTTAAAATAGAAGGTCACAGGATCTAACAGGTGTCCGGGTACACAAAATAGGCATCGTTTAGTGGATAATTAAAATAGAGTGTCTAGCGCCGCTTACTCGGTGATTAAAGAACAAAAAGTGGTAAAAAACACGCAGAAAAATGTTTAGATCCACTCGACTAATTAAGCGAGTAAGAAATGATTTACCAGAAAGATATGTCAGCCAGGTTAAGAAACAGTAAAAAAATAATTAATACACATATAAATTACATATATATATATATATATATTAAAACTTTTGTCTCTCATTTTGACCATTAAAATAGAAAATTTTTAAGTGATTTTTTACGAAAAATCTATTTTAACCAGTTTTAAATTTCTGAAACTTTTATCATTAAATCACACTCAAATCAGTTATTTTCATCTAATTACGGGAGTGGGCCGAGATTGATTTTAATTTATTGTTTAGTATTGAACATTTTTTTTTTTAAATTCTGACAAAAAAATATACAATTTCAGTTTTTTTATTTAAGATAAAAAATGTTTTGGTAAAATTTGTTTTTTGCATAGTTGGGAGTAAAAAGTGAAAAATGCGTGCAGATGACACCACAGCTTCAACGCGGTATCTGAGGTTAAGCTGTGTTCATTGCTGTTTGATTCCGGATGGGTGACCATCCAGGATTTTTAGCGGTGACCCATGCCATGTCCCCACTACACATGTTCCACACCTACACAAACCAAACTAAATACAAAAAAACCTAACAAACAGCTAGATGGCTAAAGTTGCTGAAGCTTAAAAAATAGAACCAAAATTTATACATTTTTTTTTTCAGATTTAGAAAAAAAATGATTCATTCAAAAAAATATATAAAAATTAATCTTATATTAGACCAAAATAAGTTTAAAAAAATGTTGAGGTCATGTCGATGACCCCCTATATATAAGTTTTTTGGCTACAAATTCTAGTGAATTTATTTTTATTTTATTTTTCATCTAGTTTTTTTGGCTATAATATTACTATCAATGCAGTGTTAGTACAACAAATAAATAAGTAATGCACGCTGATAAAAAATAATACTACACTCCACCCTTCTTCCTATTGTCAACTTTAAATAACTATACCAAATAATTGTCCAAAAATAGTTATCGACAAGTCAACATTAGTTAAACCATTGATTATATTGTACTTATAATCAATGGTTAAACAAATGTATACGTTGTCATTTAAGTTTCAATATTTAAATTTAAGGTAATATAAAAATAAATAATTTGGGAGGAGGGGGCAAATATTTTGTATTCACAACGTTCAAAATAGAAATGAATAATACATTCAATAATTTAGGGGGACAAATTCTCTATGAATTGTTTTGGGCCAGATATTATGAAAACACTAAAATATTAGCCAGAAACTTGATATGTTTACTAGCCACCTTAGATACATAAAAATGTATCCCGTGGTGTTGCTGACTCGTACGCAAGCTGTTAAAATATAATATGTAATCCCTATGTGAAAACCTTTAATAGAGCCTTGCAAACCCAACCTTTATGCTATCTAGGTTGTCCAAATTAATTCATAAAATTTTCAAGGCACGGATTTTGAGTTTGTTTATTCATTCGAAATTAAATTGTACACCCAAAACATTCACTACAATTATTATCACCACCAGGCTCAATATTTACGACCATTTATTATTTACTAGTTGTAGGAACTACACATTTTACTATTTGCACCAATGGGCGATTAATTATTAATATTCGTTATACGTTTGGAGGATACAGGTTATGCGAGAACCCGGCTTAAATATCAACCGTTATTAGCAGCATTAGTGAATTTCGTTTTTATACGTTTACAAGTATCCAATGTGACTGCAGCATTTACATCATTTGGTTGGTAAACGCTAACATTGTATTCGGGTTGACATTAAAAAAAATGTGTTTGTTTTAATGACCAAGAGAGTCTAAAACCATTAAAAGTAAAGATAGTGTCTAGTAATAGTACAAAAGAAAACTTTAAAGCCTATTATGTTTAACAATATCTGAATAATTTAAACCAATATTAGTTCCATTCATCAACCTGGTTTGCTACATAAAATGCATAGACCTATGAAACATACTTATTTTCTATACATACATGTAATTGTCGACATTTAACATTATTATTGTCTTTAGTTAAAATGTTTATAAAAAATAAAAATATTGTTCGTTTTAATCCTGTTGGCTTATAGATAAAACTAATAATAATATAAATCATAAAAAACATTTCGTTGACAACATGTTATACTTTGTTATAGTTTATTAATTGAAAAAATAGTCTCTAAAAGCGTTGGTTAACCGGCACCTTGATCCTATACGTTTATATTCCCCCCCCCTTGAACCACTCCACCTACTTTTAGTCAACCAAACCGCCATGCTCATCAATATTTGTCCTAAAACGCAGACTAGGTTTGGGATCGTTTCGGGTTTTATCATGCTGATAGAGAAGATCTGAAATGTTAGGTTTAGTTAATTAGAAACACTAGCATACATAGGAGGGAGGGGGCTTATGACTATCCCATGGTCGGTCTTATTACACAATGTGTTAATTAATTGGAAAGTAGTAGATTTGAAGTATAATTTGAATATTTTAATGTTGTTTTTAAAAAGTTATACAGAGTGGCCCACAAAGATTTGACAAATGAAATAACTTTTGCTCTTGTAAATATTTTTAAGGTATTTTTTTTAAATTATTTTATACTCATTTGTGCTATAAAAAACACGCATTTATTGCATTTAAGTGTTTTACTTTTTAAAATTTTTTATTTAAATTCAAGATAGCCATTTTATTAAGAATAATTTTCTGAAAATGTTGACTGGTCGACCACCAGTTTTGGATATTTACTTTATATGTTATTTAAGTGTAATGCTTAGGATGGGAGGTGGAGTGCGGTAGTGTAATGCTTGTATATTTATTTTTATCTGCACGTATTACTCTACCGCATTCCACCTCACATCATAAATGTTAACCTTTAATAATTTAAAAAGTAATTATCCAAAACTGGTGGTCGACCAGTCAACATTTTCAGAAAATTATTCTTTATAAAATAGCTATCTTAAATAAAATTTAAAAAATTTAAATGATTTAAAAAAGTAAAATAGTAAAATCAATCCAAACAGTGATGTTTATAGCGCAAATGAGTATAAATCAAGTAAAATAAATCTTAAAAATATTCACTAGAACAAAATTTATTTTACTCATCAAATCTTTATGGGATACCCTGTATTCTATCTTCTTTGATGACATGATTTATTGAACTATTTTAAATATTAGTATTTTTTAAATTATTTGAAAATAACGAGCTAGAGATATCTCTCTATTACTTATTTTATTCAACTAAAAGTGGTATTTAAATTAGTTGACTATTGGACAAAATGGGAACAGGCCCGAGCCCCATCTATACTTTCAAATCCAAACAACTTCAAAATGATATAGGTATTCAAAACTAATTTTCGATCAGTCAACATTTTTAGACAACCTATTCTTGACAAATGTATAAAACTAATATGGCCATTAGGCAATGGCTATTAATCATAGAAATCTGAAAAACGACTTGGTTTTTGAGTATGATAGTATATATATTTATTGTACTTGGTTTGTATGGTCTAATTTTCTACTTCACTTTTTCCTCTAACTAGTTTTACTGTGCTGGTTCCTTTCTGTCCATGGATTCGCATCGAAGCGTTGATTGCGATCAAATCATTTTCGGATTTAATAATAATATTGTCTTTATCCTTGTTTCCTCACTTCATGCTGTACTAAATGTATTTACTATTGCATTGGCGTCAGATTTGTGCTCTGCTAATTACCGACCAGATGCCGTTCCTCCCTTCTCTGCTCGCACTTCCACCCCTGGCGGGCGCAAGACTTGACTTGAAAGACGGGGAAGGGAAAAGGCGTTTGCGGCGTCCCGGTGGGCGGTGGCGGACTCGACGGCGGTGGGACTGGCCCGGAACCCGAACGGTCTGCCCCGTAACTTTTTTCCACCAAACCGCGGCCGTGCTGGCGGCGGCCGCGTCGCCGTACAACGTAGCGGCCGCCGCCTCGGTGCCGCGCGCGCGCCGGGACGGACACCGACGTCCGCCTGGCACGTTCAGTACGCGTCCCGTTATCGTCCGTTCCGGTTGCGACTCCAAAGCCTTCCCGGGTCGTCCGCACGTGACCACGTGAGTTTCGCTGGCAAACCGCATTAACGTTGCCAATTTTCGGTTTTCGGGTTTGCCGACACAAATTCCATTGATAAAAAAAAAAAAAATTACAACTGAAGTGTTATCGAATCATCATCTTCTCTCGCCATTGCCAGCCGCGCCTATCTAAACCTCATTCTGCCGACCCGAAGACATATTATATCCCAGGACTATAATAACATACGATACTATTCGTACCAACTGTATACATAACGATTAATTGATAAAGGTAAATCATAAAAAATCAACATTCAATCGAATATGGAAATTATTATGTGTTTCTAATGGGCGCACCAAATTGACTACCGACTTATTTATTATTATCTAACTGGCACAAAATCCAAGTTACAATGCAGTAGGAAAAATTAACTAAAATTTCACATGACGATAAATTGTTATAACTACACACAACATACTTAAAATTAAGAAAAGGAAAGAGTGGGGTGGAAATCCGTAGACCTTGTCTACAAAAAGAAAGCATCTATCAAAGCTCATCATTGAATTAAAATATAAATATATAGAACATTTTTTGACATAAATGGCATTACTTACATTCAAATCAAGTAAACACTAATAAAAGTACTAATGTTAACTTGTACAACGTAGTACAGTCTCAATAATTATCTATTACAAAAAACAACAAATGGCAAATCAATAATATGTAGGTTTAATACATTTGTTTTTTCTTATTTGTCTTTAGATTTTTTACCTTTATCTTTTTTAGTGTAATAAGCAGTGTACATTTACATACAGAATAAATAATTTTAAGACGTTAAAAATATCTATACATATTGGGATGGTTGCTAAGGAATTTTCATCATAATAATCTTCGGGTCCCTAAAATTAACCTACCCAAGTCGGGAGGCAATTTGGGTGCGGTATAATCATTGTAACGCTGAATTTTAAATTCGTTTAATAGCTTAGCTTCATAAAAATGTCTAATAGGTGTGTAAAATTTTGTAATTTTTTAAATTTAATTATATGCGCAATGTACAAATTCATTTAAACTAAACGTAGGTAGTACAAGTTAGTATAGTTTACACGTCTTTCCGGGTACGCGCCTTCAGGATCTAACGTGAAATTGGAAAGTTTTACGCTTCCATCATTCTATTATACAAATATTGTGAATTTTTGTTGTTTCTCTCCAGGTTTTTAAAATAATGTAAAATATTGAACAATTTCCTAGCGTTACGCCTTCAATAATAGAATGTCAAGTTAATACTTTGTTTGGTTTCAAACGCAAATACTATACTATTATTTATTTGCACTACTGCGGCCACTGTTTATGCAATGCTACAGTTTCTTCCATATTTGAAGTACAATTAAAATACGTAGATTTAACGTAAAGGCCAAAATATTTATAAAAGGCATACAAAATAATCTAAAAAGCCCGTTAAATATAAGGTATTATACACCCCGAAGATAATAAATACACACCTAAACAATATTTAAGCATTAGTTTTTCGGTGATAAAAAAATAATGAAATTGACAAGTCTTCATGTAATCGAGTTGGACCAACAAAACTGATTATTCTTATTTCAAACAAAACCCACTATCTACTGTATTCAATTTACAACTAAATGTTATTATATGGTAATCAAATGTTATTCTTAATTGAAACAAAAAAAAAACGGTTTAGGCCATGATAAAATTATCTAAACATAAATTAAAAAACAAACACTCACATATAAACAATATTTATATTGCGTACTGTAATTGTGTTTATACATGTTTTTCGAGTTTACAATACAAAACAAAACGTTAAGACTATTTTATACTGATAATTATATACCTTAACTACTTACCATTGTCCATTGCGATAAAAGTATAAGACCATTAAGAATTTTATTGAATCGTTAATCTAGTGATAATGAGTATAAATATTTGTTATTTAAACTGGTAATCGCTAGAACTCACAAGTACGAAAGTCGTACGGCATTAGTTATTATTTTATAACTGTCAAATAAATAGATAATAAGTTTTTTTTTTTGAAAGTAGGATTATTTAAGATTTTATTGATAATTGTTCAGCTACATCAATTTCAGTGTTTTAATTCTTTCCATGTATAAATAGTTACAAGTGTTTGATACTTATATCTAAAGCTTCTATCGTAACGCGTAAAGATATCTAATATTTATTTTTAAAATTTTGTATATTATATAACTTTAAGAACACAAACATGGTAAACACTTAAGACTGATTACTGACTACTAACTACAATTGTACGACTACACTATTTTGTAAGATAATACATCTTGAACCGATAATTTATAGACTTTAAAACATTTAATCCCATGTATTTGATAATAAATGTATTACCTGTCTAAATGTATTATTGTAGAACGAGAAAATACGTTTTTCTTGTCATAGTATTTTATCGAAAACTTTTTACATAACATAGTAACATACAAATCTAAGAATCGAGATAAAGTTAGAATAATTCTACGGCGTTCTACTATAAAGCATAAAAGTATTACCAATTTTTATAATATTATAATGAAAAATGAATATATTATTATTATCATTATATATTATTTTAAAGAAGAAAAAATAAAATTTAAAGTTAATATTTAGGTACAAAGAGATAATAATAATAATTATAATATTAAATAAGGGTTCTAATAGTACAAATTAGAAGCAAATGTTTTAAATTTGTGGTTTATTTTATAATACTAGTTAAACAATACAACTTTTGACAAAAAAATCCATTAGCAAAGTCCTTAAAACACGTTGAGTAGCCTGTAGCGCAGGTGTACACGCAATTATTTTTACTAATTAGTGATAAGATTTATACTACTCGTCGCCTGCGACAATAATAACCGGTCGTTACTTTCCTTAATAATACTTAGTTAGGTTTTAAACTGTCATTAATGTTTGTGAAATATTTCAAAACGATTCAATTTTCCCGTAAATTTTAATTTCCAGACTCATTTGCTAATTATTCATTAAAAAAATTCAATTTGAACTTTGTTTGTGAAAAAAGGTGTCAAGTCAAAATTGTACATTTTTCTGCAGACCGTAAAAACGTGTTTGTTCTTTTATTTTAGTTTTTAATGTCTCTGAAGAGTAATTTTCTTCTAATAGACCAACACATTTTTAAATTTTAATGCTAAAAAATTGTAGGATATGTTTTATAAATGACTTGCCGTGCTAATGACACAAACAGTATTAATTGTTTTATGCAAGAGTGTAAGAAACTAACACACCATTTGAGCATGTTTCTAATTATTTCGATTCCTCACTTGTATAGTTGTAATCTATACAGTTGTATAGGATATTGTAACAAATGTATTTTTGGTCAGGGACGGACCCTTTTTCAATAAACATATTCATAAAAGTGTCTAATAAGTAATAAGTCTTGTGACAGGGTACTCCTTATACAGTACCATACAAGGTACTCCTAAGTACTCCAAGCTCCAAGGTACTAGTATGATTTAACATATTTAGTTTCGTAACATATTATAAAGGGCAGGATATGCGTTGGTAGATAAGTTATACTTGACCAAGATATTAAAAACACTTATTATATTGTTGGAAAATAGTACTAACTCATAACTTTATTTATTATACCTACATGATAAATTTCTTTTATTATAAAAAAAATTAAGTACAGGGTGGGGGCCACAGGGAAAATCGCTCTTTCCCTATGGGCCTGTCCGCCCCTAGCAGTCATTTTCCTGATTTTATCATATTCAGCTTTCCCCTTTAAGGAAATTTTATTGGCGACATTTCTTGCCCTTCAAAGAGTTAAGTACTGTCGACTGGGTAAGGTTTCTGTTTTGGAACTCTGCAAAAACAAAATGTATATATATCTATACATGCATATATATATATATATATATATATAATACATTTAATAACAATAATAACTGAAACAGCATTGCACGTGTACGCCGTTTACGAGTTAATGAAACCATAAATGCAGATTTAACTACCACGCTGGTCTCGGATAAGTGCGCCGGCGGTTGCTGTTGATACCGTGTTTGTCAAACGCTTGATTCTTTATAATAGTATTACACACAATATTTGTTTTCCCCTCGCCAACAGTACACGTTTAAGTATAATATAATCTATGTATTATTACGCGTATACAATATATTTATGTATACATACGGCTCGTGTGTAACGGCGATAAATCCGCTGTCGGCGGTCGTGCTCACACCGTAACTGGTCGGAGAGAGGCCGGACGACAGCATTACTGCAGACGTTATAATAACAATAATATTGTCGTCGATAACGCTAAGTATCGCCAAGTACTGTCGCATTTCGATCATTATTCATAAATATAGTTACTGCCTTCCGACGGTCATCGTTTTGTTCTTTCGCATAACATTCTACTTTAGTGTCCGTGATCGTAACTTTGGGCAGTAACAACTCCAAAAATTAGAGATTAGTACCAGCGGAGTGATTAAAGGACATTAGGTACACTATGAATCATTAAAAAATATATAAGTGTTGTATCAAAGTAAATTTGCCAAGACTTGGAGACTTATTTCTATTTAAAAATTGTTGTCGAGCGTTTAGAATGTTTAAAATGAAGATGAAATAATCAAAACAAAACTTTCACTGAAGTAATCAATGAACATTTTATATACACTGTCTGTACTAAATGAAAGAAACGAAATATAGTAGTAATACATATAAGAGATTAGAGTATAGGGGAACTAGAAGTAGATGAAGTTCGAGCACGGGTGACGCATAGAAAATTGTGGAGAGACTAGAGAGACGGTTGAGGTAAATCACCTCATTTTTAAAGGCCAAGAAGACTTCACTGATGAAACTATTTTATGATGCCTTTTGACATTCCTGAAACGTTTAACAAAATATTATATACGTTGTTTCTATTTTGTCCTCGATGTTTAGACTAGTTTACCAACGTAAATTTTTTTAAAAACACTATATGTGTAAGCTCATTACACATATTAAATTACACATAAAAACTTTAAAGTACATTGTCACAGTTATCGAAGTTAGCTATACTGCTAACTGCAAAGATCTATGATAGCAATTTAATAGAGTAGAATTATAATTTTAATTTGAGAATTTTACTGTCGCTTTATTACTGTACCTAATGTTTTGATATACAAAAGTTGTACTCCACTTTTAATAGCAAAGTGTTTGCGTTACAGATGGAACACTCGCCGTATTCGCAGAGTCCAAGCCCGTCACCGTCTTTGGTCAATTTTCCCTCGCCTGCCAACCTACCGGACATCAGATTGCATAGACCCTTCAGCCAGGTACACAACAACATTGCATTATGGTCTATTTTAACATTGTAATATGTATTTCAATGCCATAAACTAGTTACACTAATGGCCGGTGTTTTATCGTTTACCCTACAATAATAGTACACAGTGATTACCGTATGTTATTACATAATAGGTAATAAAATATTAAGAAAAAGTCATCACTATTATAGTTACCTACATTTAAAATTGTAATACACTATTTTATTTTAAAATAACATTCTTTTTTTTAACCGAGGTTGCTACACACTTATATGTTAGTCAAGTAACATAAAAACGAGGTTTACTTAGGAACTTTAGTATTCAAAATTATAGACAAGGAGTAAACAATGGGTAAAAATTATGGAAAGATAACATTAGTCTATTTAGATCATCGCCTGTAAATATAATCATTAATCGCTAATAACTTAAGTATTAATTCAGAATTGGCTATCGATCAATCATTATTTTTATCAAAGCATTGTAATTTTAAAATGAGTATCAAATAAGTAGGTTTCTCTTTGACTATCATTTGATTAATACACATTAAACCTAGACATTAAAAAAAAATGTTTTGAATATAATAAATATGTTTTAATTAAAACATGTTTATAAAATAAAATAAAATTCAGAATGGTCCTTTTAGATTATAACAATATAAGTAATTTTCAGAGTTCATTTGTTACTTTTACATAAAAACGTTTCAAAAGTAACTGGTCTAGTTGAAAGTCTTATAGCAGAAGTAACTTTTAACTTTTTAACTTGTTAATGTCCATCCTTATTGTAAGGAACGGTTAGGATAATTTGGTCAATTGTTAATGACATCGTTGGCAATGCCTATATTAGATTAAACGAATTGTAGTGATATCACGTGTTTACTTACTAAACTGGAAAACTAACCAAATGGGATGGATTTTTTTAAACGTACAACAATGGTGCTTTTTAGTTTCTGGCCTCTGATAGTTGGGGCTGAGTACCAATACTACTACAACAATTTGTCAATTTATTGATAAACTATCATAATTTTAAATATATAGAAATTTATTAGAATATATCACTAGTTTGATAATTATTGTAAATATCTTGAAGTTTTGCGTTGCATATATATTTAAGTGTTTGGAGAGTACTTACAATAGCTATTCGATTAATAACTTCTGTCATATGATAACACTTTTTTTTATTATGTACACGCGCAATTATTTGTTCGACAACTTGATGGATTTAAAATAGGTACCTTTGCCAATCAATGACTTCTATTAAATAACTTAAAAAGATGGGGTTTGTTAACAATGTACTTAACATTGTCGACAATTTTTCATTATATTGTTATTGTACAATAATAATAAAAATCTATTTTTTGTAATAATTTTTAATTTAGAATTAGACAAGACTAATTAGTAACTTTAATATTTGGTTATTTTTATAATATTTTGTATTGAAGTAATTTGCATTAGTATTACGCATTACTATAACACTTATTAGTTATAATATTTCTCATCATATAGTTATTGTAGCTATACTACATGCGGTTGTATAGCACTTTAATTTGCTTATAAACCGGTTTTAATCATACTGGACACACTAGTGCATAATATTATATGCGTCGTGTATAAGTGTGTCTCAAGTTAAAATTTACTGATCAAAAAATTATTTTTTTACGCTCTTTTCAAAACTTATTATCAAACACTTTATATATGTTGTATATCTTTTCGATAAAAAAAAAATCACGCTGTGTTGGGTTAAGTATAAAATTGCTTGATAGAGGCAAAGACGCCATCAATGTTTCATTTAAAGTAAATGTTAAAAATAATTGTTTTGCTTATCAAGTTACAACAGAGGGGAAAAAACGTACACTAATAAATAAATAAAAATGTCCTATGTTGAGCTAAATAATATTTTATTATTGACTTGTTCTCATATCAACTATGTATACCTAGATGAAATAAGAAATCAAAATAACAGTCTGGTTTTTTAACTCCGATACCAACTAACAGAATCAATTTTGGTCGGATTTAAAATATTAATTTTTTAATAATGTACATTTCTATCCGGTTTAACATAATGGGATAACGTAAATTAAATGTACTTTTTATCAATGGAATTCAAGAATTATTCAAGTAGGTTATATATACACCGTTCATCAGAGGTCTTTAAACAAATGCTGAGTATAACAATTACTGTTAATTACATAGGTACATGGATAGGCCATACTAGCCTATGTAAGAGATAAGTTTAATAAAAACATTACACGAACAAATATTTTGTACTAGTAAATATTAAGAAACTATTTTGTATGATAAGATACGTTGTATTTTAATCTACTAACGGTATTACGAAAATAAAAATATATAGTATGTAAATATTATCGCACAATATTGTAAGTACAAAAGTACCTATGTAATTTTTTTTATTGCACTCGTCTTAAGTGACGATGTATATTTTATCATAATACACATATAGACCATCAATGGGTTATTATCAGTCATTAACGATTGTTTAAAACTTATATTATAGCTGGCGAAGACAAAAAAAAACCAAAACAGTCATAAATAAAATAATGTAATGATAAAACTAATAAAAATTAAATGGCGTCATAAAAGTATCACAGTATTAGACCTATTTCTCTATGACAAAAGATGGTTGTGCAATACAACAACTAAAACTATTATATAACTATCGCTTATACGATATCCTTAACACTTAACAGTCGTGGCTATTTATTAAGGGGTAACATGTTGACAAAAAGTTTGTTTCAGTAAATTTTGATAATTTAAACTAATTTTTAAAAGGAAGGGAGTTCACATGGAACTTAAACGTGCGAAAATAATATTATTTTTGCAATCTTGATGTGTTAGAAATATTAGTTATTTTTAACCCAATAATAAACAAAACCGAACGGTACATTTACATTTATATGACAATTTTACTTACTAAAATCATTAAAAAACTAAAAATAAACAGCACTACATACGCAACTTAGTCTGAAACTAATCATTTCCCAAAAGTGCTGGAAATCATGTGACTTCTCTTTGTAGGTGAGAATTTTGCTTTTATTTTAATAATTTTTGTTTTTTCTTGAATATTTGGAATGAAATATTGAAAACCTCCATTTTTTTACTTATCGAAAAAACAAAAACGGAGGCTTCTTTGGGGTTGCGCCAAATGTCTCTAATCGCCAATTACCTTTCATACTGGAACACCCTGTGTATAATAAAAAAAAAATTGGTTTGGTACGACGATTTAACCGGGTCGGGAGGATCGAAATCTAGTTACACATATTTTAAGTGCTACATCACCGGCGAGCATGTGTTTTCCACTTACGAATGGCGGCGTTATTTCCATACAAATAGTGTTGGGTTACGCGTACGTGTGGCCATTTGTCGAGTGACGTTTTTATCGTGCCCGGCAATCCGGCGTAAATCTTTTCCCAAAAACTCACTTTGGCCATTATCGCGACATCTTCCTATTCTTTTATCCGTTTCCCGCTGCCATAATATTATTCAGCCTGCGCCATCAATCTTGTCCACTCGCACGCGCCAACGTTGCCCATCGTAGCTGGCGATTCTCATACGGGTATCATTTCGCCAATGTCGTTTTTTTAAATTTCTTTTTAAACGATTGTTCCGGCCGAATCGCTTGCCGGAGTTTATACCAATGTATATACCTACTCATAATATTACCTGACAAACGTATAGTCGCAGCTTCCGGTCGGCATGGGTTGTCAAAGAATCGAAAATTTCCGAAGCAACTTTTAACATTGGCGCCAAACCTACATCATGTTTATTATATACGTGCGCTTTCGGATTTAACGTAAATCTATTATGAAATCCCAAAAAATCATCGTCAAATCGGAATATTCAGGAACTTAACGGTCAGCACGGACAAATTAATTATTATACCCGATAATAATTATTATTTTACAATTATAATCTTGTACGCACCGTGTAGTTATTTTGTGATACAATCGAGCCGACGACTATTTTGTTTTTTGTTCACCTTAACATTGGTTTAGATTCACGTTCAACTAATAATATTAACAAATTAGCAAAAATAACAATCAGTTTGAATAAATATTATTTATCAACCTTTTATTCATATGAAAAAAAGACTGTCAACATTTAATATAATAAACAAATTTTTGATAAATTTACATTGATACAATGTATTTTTCATTTGTTGCGATAAAATCTTTGTTATAACAACAATGCATTATTATGCTGTTAAACATTTATGGGGTCAATAGCAATACATTATTTAACAAAGTGGTCTACATTTTTATTGAATATAACGTAATTTTTCGTTCAGTGTCTACTGATAAAGAGTTATTTATAGTAAAAACATTTACCTAAAAAATTATATATATTTTAACACATACTAATGTGAAAGCTGAGTCGCACAAAATTCTATTGATTCCATAAACCTTATAAGAACCAATTATTACTCCACAACGGTTTATTAAACCGATCAAGTATTTTTTGCTCCATGAGATATTATAACAAATTGTTATAACTATTTAGACAATTTTTTTTACTAGAACGTATCACACCATTAAGCAAGGAAGCACTCATGAAAAAACAAAACATTTAATTAACGAGGTCTGAGTATTAATTTGAAATTAGTTACACCATAAACGACCTTTGAGTTCAACAAGAGTTATTTACCTGCGTGGCATAAATTAACGTTAATATAATTTAAGGTTCAACGTTAAAATACATATTTCAATGTAATAATTATCTCGAAGATACAAATAATAATATGCGTCAAAACGATTTCGATTTACATAAGATTTGACGAAAATTGTTTTGTTGTAAGACACTCTAAACTATAATACTATATCCTTTTTTATTTTCCTCATCGACAACATGTAACGGAACCTAACGGAAAATTGCTTAATAATTAAGTCCTAATTCGACTATAACTTGCAATCATTTGGGTGAGAAAAGTAAAAATAACAGTAATTTGGATAGTATTAAAAATAAACATTAAGTCATAGTACTAATAATATTAATTCAATAAATAAAATGTGATTTTAATATTTAGTCCTAACTCTTATAATACTCTCTCATAGACTAAAGGTACATATAGGGTATTATTTGTCAGCAAACTAATTTTAAGTAATAACTGCAAATACAAACATGAATTATGTTTTGTATATTAAGTATTAACATAAAATCACCAAGGTAATAACAATAATAGCGACAGAAGACAGGTAATGGAAAATAATTAAATCGTTATGGAAACTTAATTTGACTTACACCTCGCCGAAATCAATTAATTTCAATTTCGCAGTCAATAAAAGTTCCCTGACACCGTATGGCAATAACTGATAGTACTTTAAAGTGTATTTAGAAATTTCTTAGATGACAAAAAATTTAAAATAAATATTATATAGATATCAAATATTATACTACCAGCGTCATTTATATTATGATGGAATCAATAACTATTAAATGTAATACCTAATTTTAACAAAGTGTTGTTAATGATACTATTTAATGAGAAGATGGCAGCACTTTTGTTAATTAAATTTTTCTATGCCTATTTTCTCAAAACTTGTATACCTATAGTTAATAGTTTACCGGCTTTCAAAGTAAAATTACCGTATAGAAAAGATAAAAAAAAATATTATTTATTTTTATGTCAGCATGAGTGCTGTGACCGAGAACCTCTTATTCTTATATCATTACTTATAATTAGTAATACTGTTCGTAAAAGTCAAACTATATCACCTTCTATAAATGTATATATTTAATAGCTGATGAAATCTAGTTGTTGAAGCTTTATTTTAATAATAAATTGTATACATATCAATTTTAAGCTGTTGCGCGTGCGCATCACTAAGTGTTATGTTGTGTTAATCCGATTGTAAACGTTATAAACTTATCTTATGCAAGTGTGCAATTATTATTATTATTCAACAAGTGTAATCAAAGCGTTGATATGCCGTGAGGGATGAAAAAAACGATGAGTTGTACGACCCGACGTTAATTATATATTATATGCAACTTGACCGATTCGATAGGGTTTCAAGCTAATTTAATAACCATATGCAATAACGAACGTGTCCGGCTATTAACAGTAATACCTAATTAACAATCTCCTACGTCGAGTGTTAAAATGTACACGAGAAGGGGTCATGGCTAAGAAATCAGTTGAAACTTAAACACTAGTCGGATTAGACAGGTGTTATCGCCCGACCGTCTTCGTTAAATCTGTGTTATTATTAATTGATTATAATTTTCACAACGCGATATTGTGAAGGAAATTGTATTGGTGAAATTCGTAATAACGAACCTGTGAAAATCTAAAAACCTTTCACAATCGATTAAACATAACTATTAATGTCATAGCAAATATCATAAAAGCATTTCAGAGACTCATAAGTGCTTGAATAGTTACTTTAAAAAGAAACCAACTTAAGGTTTAACAGAACTGACTAGCTGTTCTTTTCCGTGTTTCTCAAATTAAATTTTTAAAGAAAAATGTTTTTTTCTTAAAACAAGTAAGAGATGATTTATCACTTAGAACTGTAATCTTCTACTACTGAAATGTGATCTTTCTTTTCCAAGCCCGAATTTCACTATTTTGTTGTTATCACAAAAAAGATATCGTAAGTCTTGGCACAAAAATAAAAACACATCATTGCAAAGGCAATATCTATAATTTTGCTTGATGAAAGCTTGTAGGGTTCCCGACCACACGCCTTTTTCGAGTAGCCACGTTCCATCAGTTATCGCCTTTGACGATCTCGTTTCCAGCACATTACAAGGGTTTGACCTGCATCAGCTGTAAAAAATATATAGAAGTATTTTGAAACAAGTTAATAGATTTTTTCATATTATTATAAAAAAAGACATGATGATTAGGTATAATATATTGTGCTTTTAACTACTCATGATGGTCGAACTTGATACACTACTTGATAAGTATAACCAAATGAAGGTCATCGGATTACACTAATGTTTATAATTTTTACGGAAAATCAAAATTGTGAATGATACAATTAATTTATGAGAGATAGTTTGATAAGCTTAGACTATAGGAAGGAAAAGCAAGGAAGAGATGGTTAAAGTTAAGCTAGAGATTCGACTTAACCTTATTCTTAATAGTTATTCAGCATATTATGTCGGGTTGTACTATTCTGGGTTGGTAAACGTAAAAATCGTTCGTATTCTTCCAAAAAATTAATGAAATTCCAGTTATATTCTTTTACAAGTAAAAGATACTTCGTTCTTGGTAGTTTCGGAAAAATGAACGAAATCAAAGGAACGCGTTCCTTTCAATCGCTGATACTTATTACAATAGTGGCACTGGGCCAGGAGTAAGATTTTGTGATTACAATGTTTATACTTCTTTTACGTACAACACTCAAAAAAATGTTCATCGACTCAATTGTTCGCGCATTACATGACATATGTATACAAAAGACCCTTTAATAGAAACAGTATACACTTAATACATAACATATTAGAACTTTGTAAGACAAAACATTATTTTTATACATTTTTTTTGTGTGTTCGTAGATGCACGATCTTAAGCACCTCCACTTGCCGTTTCAAGGTTCCAACTTCGGTTTTCGCTTTATGGAAAATTATTCTGCTCTACCGGCGCATCTCCTTCACCACTTGCAGCCACAATTCTTGCACCCGGCCCTCGACCCTCGCATATCCTTTTCGCAAGCCACCGGCGTATTTCAACCCTTGGGCTCTCCAAATCCCCATCATCAACATCCGACAGTGGCTCACCATCCAGCCATTAAGGGTTTTGCGTCTGCTTTCGCACCTCCGGCCAAATGTTATAAGATTGACGACGGCAAAGCTACAATAACACATGCCGATGGGGTAGCCACTCAACAGCAACAGCAACATCATCAGCAAAACCAACAGCTATCTACGTTCCCGTACCCAAGGAGGAGTCCTTGTTCTCCGGCCAGTATGTCAGCTTCACCGACTTCCGTGCAACAGCAGAACGCCGCAGCTGCCGGGAAGGAAGAGTGCTCTGACAGAGACACGCCGAGTTCTGGAGCAGTATCTGAAGACGGCAGGACCATTAGAAGTGAGTTAATATTAATGCTTCAAAATTTAAAAAAAGGACCTTTTTCATATTTAAGTCTATGTTAAAAAACATAGACGAAGTGCTGTTTATGTTTTAAGCCGAAGGCAACAACTGACTCTTTTAGTAGTGTCTACATTAAGTAACGAATTCCGTTCCTCCAATTTTAATTTAAAACATTGTGTAAATAAGTTTAATTATTAATAATTAGGTCACACTTTTTACCAAAGATAACAAGCAAATCTTTATTTCAGAAACTAACTTAAAACAAAATAACCTAGAATTCTACTAGCTAATTTTGTTGAATAATAATTTTAATAACCTAGAAAATTTTTTTTTTATTTCGAGATGGGAGTCAGACTATATTACTTATGCTTACCGAAAATAAAACAACAACGACAAAATCAAACAACATGAACAACACTGTCCGTGTAGATGTGTTCATTTGTCTAGATTATTGGTTGGTTTTTTTCATTTTGACAGACATTTTTCCAGGTTACTCCGATATATTATGTTCATCAAAACAATTAAATGTGATCAATCCGGTCTTAAGAAAATAATGTGCCAATGTTTTAACAGCGGTTTCTTATTAGTTTTTATTTCTTAAAGTTCTTATAATTTTTATGATCATTATATTTTTATTATATTATTGAGCAAAATTATATTTTTTAAGTTAAGTAAAAATGTAATAATATAACATCAAAACATTTTTATTGATAAATATCTAAAAAAAAATATTTTAAGAAATTTAATACTTTTGAACGAGTTCCTTTTAATTTCCATGCATCGACAATGTTTTTAAGACTAATTCTTATGATAAATTGGTCATCGGAATATAATTGTAAGAAATACTAAATTAGTTGCTAGCCGTTGTAATTGCAAGCTAGTTTAGTAAAACTAAAATAACAGAAGAAGAAATTAAAATCGCTTATGTAGTATTATCTCATTATAGGTTGTATAGTTACCAGTATAACTTCATTTTAATCGTTTCTCTTCGAAAAGGGAGAATATGTTTAATACTTTTTGAGACTAATTACAGGATTTTTTTACAAGAACTCAAAATATAGATATTTGTCATTGACATAAAAAGGTTGATAACAATTTTTGTTATTTGGATTTAAGAAATTACCACGCTGTCTCGGTAGTTTTAACGAACTAAATATATTATTATTGAAAAGGAGATTAATTATTGAAAACTCAGTTTTTACGCCAATTGTTTTGTTTGTGAAATAAATGGGGGAGGGGTAGGTTCACTACTGGAGCTTTTGTTGTCGATTTATATACAAACAATGAAACCCGATTAAGCGGCGGCGACCTTTGGGGTTACGACTTACGACTTAGGATCGGCTACGCGCAACATAATAGGTACCTCGACTTTATTGTGTCCGAGTGCGGTCTGGTGCTAAAGCTATTCCCCGACGGTATTCGGGAAAAGTTTAAGGTTAGCAAGGCCAAGGTACATACACAGCAACCTATATAGTCTATGGACGACTGTACGATGACTAACAAGCGTTTTCGGTCATCGTGTGTACAATATGTTTTAGCGACGCGACACATGTGCCGAACTTTGTGTTATTCGCGTCAACTTCCGCAAACTATATTACTCGGGTGATAGGTATAATACCTATACAGAGGTTTTAACGCTGTTACCGTTGTCCTCGACAAACTAGTAACGATATATCGGGTCCGTGTACCGCACATTAGTCTAAAGCGGTCGCAAAACACTCCGGAGTCCGGTCAAACTTCGACCGGATCCCAAACGTCCCTCCTTTATAAGTATAATAACTCAATAATATTACGCAAAAGAAAACGACTCTCCATTCCGGCGACATCCGAACTCGAGTTTTATCGACCGATCGTTAATGTTATTAATCACAAGACGTACATTTCAACAAACGTTAAAATAAAGAAAATTTAAAAACCCTTAACCATAAAATAATACACTTTCCGCGTATTTCGGTAACAATGTTGCCATCTTCAGCGCTAACGACAGACTGTAGATAAAATAGACTTTTTCTAGATAAACGTTAAAAGCCTAAAAAAACGTAAACCGTTCAAGACAGGCTTAAACAGTTGTGTAACATACGGTTTGATCGGATTTAATACAACTGGTTAGGTTAAAAACAAGACAGTTGGAAACGTTAGTTGTGTTTTTTCATCTTAATTTCTTCCTAATTTGTAATACTCGTACGGATAGATTTTTTTCATTACCGTCTTATTGTAACTGTATAATAGTCACAACATGCGTCAGTGAATTTATTAGTGTATGAGTGAACAGAGAACCATATGGCAACAATCTAAAAATTTGGAATCCTGACGAGACCGTTAACAAACGAATAGGTGGACGGATTGATGGACGGCTTCGAAGACCTGACAAGCGGCGGCTTGTGTTGATTATGTTGTTTCCAAGCGAATGTATAATGTATTTGCATATTGTGTGCGTGTGTGTGTGTGTGTCGGCTCATCCGAAAGGACAAACTAAAAAATGTCGTCTTCGATACATGGGAATAGGACGAAAAAATCCCCTATGCGTCGGAGAGAAAGTATCGCGTTTATATATGTAATGTTTTTTTTTTTTTATCGGGATCGCTGTCCTTAAATATTTATCTCCTTTACTATTTGTTTTCATCTCTGTTATTAGCGGCTTTGCTTTTACACACAATGGGATTTAACATGACTTGGGTGATGGAGATAGAAGTGAGAACGCGGTGCTGTAGTGGAATGTGGTAGAATGGTAAGTAGTGCGTTCGCGTCCTTATTGTAATACATTATGTTATTGTTTGTGTGTGATTATTGAATCGAGTAGCACTGCCGCACAACGCTAGGCGATGCACTAAGCAAACACGTTTAAGTCTTCCCGAGTTTAGTTGTTCACCTCAATGTCTTAATCATTAAAACGCAGGTTTGTTTATTACTTCGATCTAACTGATAAACGACATGAGCAGTAGTTTACTCGTATTCTACTTCTATGTGTACTTTAACGGCAGCTGTCTTGTGGAATATAATATCAAATTAGAAAAAAGTAGTGAAAAAACCTCAAACAGCAAAGATGTTGAATATAAAAATTTAATTAATTTGTATAAGTATTTTTAATACAATAATTTCAAATCCAAATATTTGAATGTAACATTAACGCAATCTCATAATTAATTATTTAAAAAACGAAAAAAAATACATAATTTTTTTTTACCAACAGACTATTTGGAAATCATTTTATTATACTGGTCACTCGTGATTAAAATGTAGTCTCAACTTTGAAATAAAATTAAAATGTGGGGAGAGTAGGTTTAATAACACAAAAGCCAATAACCAAAGTCAAACGCCAATATAGCTGATAAAATCATAGCCAACTTGTCGTCTTGCGGCAGAGTGATATGTTTTTTTATTTTTTTTTTTTTGCAATACTACTAAGTTTCCCCTTTTCCACTTTAAAACTGTATACGTTGCGGTAGTTGTAACATGTTGTTTACAAGTTAAACGGGGTAGGCTCATACCCTATTATCCGAGATGCGAGGCAACCCTTAAAATATTTAAAACGTCCTGGCGGCATGCAGTTAAAAGTTAACGGCGACTGGCGAGGGCGAAATACAACACTTGGGCGCGTGTATAGCATAATGTAAATCACAAAGAGCGGCGATAACGATGTTGGCGACAGCAAAATAGACGGTTAGTATAATAGCTACCGTCTTATCTGGATTTTAAATTTTCTTTCTTTCTAACCATTTATTTTAATACTGAAAAATCCGTTTTCCTTTAAACGCATTTCCCAGCCCCGCCAGCAACTGGCTATGTATTTTGTCGCTACACAACCAATTATTCGATACCAAAACCTATTCAACCATGTACAGGGAGGTTAAAATTTTACTTTACTTTTAATTTTTTTTAAATTTATTTTTGAATGATTCTATAACTGCTACACACAAAATATGATGGAGATTATAGCTGATCAATAGTAACGAAGAATAATAGCGAACGACATTGAAAATACATGCTGAAAGTCTCATAAAAAAACTACCCATAAACGTTCCACATTACTGCAAATATAAAAGTATATTTAAGTTTTGTACTACATTCTTAATAAATAGGAGGTGATATCCTTTTAAACTTTAATTTAAATATTATTAACGACAACTAATCCGCCACGCACCACTGCTCGTCTATAGCTAATTTGTAATGCTCAAAACTCAACAAATGTTTATTCAAAAATTGCTTTTTAATAGGTAAATAATTTAACTATATAGTTTTCTACATTATTTTTAGAAGTTACATTTTAAAACTGCCATTTAGATTAATTTACTTAACTTAGACATTCAAATATGTATATACAGTGTCCGGCATAAGTCAAGACACGAAAGTAAAGTTCAATAAAAGTAGCTTACTTAAAACAGTTTTTTATAGAAAAAAAACTGTAAAATAAAATTCAATATCACCCATTATAGTTTATAACAATATAAGAAATTAACTTGTCAGAGGAAGTTAGTTTTTTTGACATTACTTTATAAGCAAATATACTAACAGTAACTGGTTAAGCAAAAGATAATTTAAAAAGTAGTTTTTAAACTCTTTTAGTTGTTACTGACCATTCTTGTAATATAAAAAAGTACAAATAACTGTTAGAAGTATAGTTGACAATAAGTAAGGTGTACAAGAACTATCGTCATAATCAAATTAATAGCTTAAGGTATTAATTAAGAAAAAAATACTGTTTAATTATAATTTTAATGTAACTATAAAGATGTATCACGTGTTATACCCATTGTAATATTTTCCAGGTTAATAAAGAATCTTAAAAAAAAAATATTTTTTATCGCTGTGATCACAACTAGATCGAACAACGCAATTAAATCGATTCCTATATAATTATTATTTATTATACAAACTATTTGTTATGTGCGTTAAAGACTCTAAAGAAACATATTTCAATTGTATGTAACCGTTCAGTATATTAACAGTTTGTTCAGTATATGTCTATGCTAATGTTTGAATTCTCGTGCTCCAATTCT